ATGCATAGGTTCTATTACTTTTGTAGCTCACTTGCGTCCAGATTTGGGACGAACCCAGGTTACTTCTTCGTCGCAGCCTTTCCGCTAACGCAAACATATAGTTTGAGGTTCCACAGTTCTCACAACGTGAGCGCTTGAACTTGCTGTGGTATTCTCCAAACAGAACAATCCGCTTGTGAGCCTGTTGTATTTTTTCCGACGCTTTGCATTTGTTTGTTGGTCTGGTGATGTTGTTCCGGAGCCTGACGGGCTGAAGAATTGCAGGATCTTCCGGGTCCGGACAGGCTGGAAGAAATCCAGGATCCTCCGTCGCCTGACGGGCTGGAAGAATTCCAGGATATTCCGGAGCCTAGCGGGCTGGAAGAAATCCAGGATATTCCGGAGCCTGACGGGATGGAAGAATCCCAGGATCTTCCGGGGCCTGACGGGCTGAAAGAATTCCAGGATCTTCCGGATCCGGACGGGCTGGAAGAAATCCAGGATCCTCCGTCGCCTGACGGGCTGGAAGAATTCCAGGATATTCTGGAGCCTAGCGGGCTGGAAGAAATCCAGGATCTTCCGGATCCGGACGGGCTGGAAGAAATCCAGGATCCCCCGTCGCCTGACGGGCTGGAAGAATTCCAGGATATTCTGGAGCCTAGCGGGCTGGAAGAAATCCAGGATATTCCGGAGCCTGACGGGATGGAAGAATCCCAGGATCTTCCGGAGCCTGATGGCCTGGAGGAAATCCGGAATCTTGCGGAGTCTGACAAGCTGGAAGAAGTAGCCGAAGTGCTGAAAGAGTTCGAGGACATGATTAACGGATGATTGACAGATGAGTGAATTCCGCTAATCGTTTCTACGTGCTGTATACGTATTTTTTGCTTAAGCTTGGCTAGTAAAGTAAGATTTGTGTAACTTTCAAGAATGTTTACTTTTATATCAGTCGGCAAGCCAAAGTAGGATTTTATGAACGCTAATCTTAGATACAATTTGATGCTGCTTGGGTAAGAATCTTGTAAGGGAATATTAAATGGTGGCTACTTTCGAATTCAAATTTCATTGCTTCCAATAGTGATACTAAACAATTAGACAAACAGATACAAGACAAGACAATTCCACAGTATAGAGTAGCCATTTGTTACTTGTTACTTAGTTAGCCCTTGGTAAACTATATGCAATAAAATGCAGTTCAGATATTCCTTAAAGATTAAGTAGTAATATAATGCATAGATGTGCATGGTGATGTGATATGTCATGTACGTCATACATACAGTGGTGAGGGATTATGACTTATTACTGCTATTAGCAGCTGTCTTTAAGCTAGCTTACTTTGTTTTAGGTCCAGCACTTTGGTGCCACTGCAGATATATGTAGCTATTATAACTGAACGCCACGCATAGGACCAATTCTGTATGAAGAATGAAGAAATTGTACTGATCGTGTGCAAAGAGATGCTGTAGAAACCCGGAAACATCTGATAAAGAAATCACGATATACCGGTATGCCACATATATGGTGTATTGATTACGAACCGTCATCAAATCAATACACCATATATGTGACATACGTCGTATACCAAGAACAAGCCTTGCAGCACGATTCTGAAGTTTTTGGAGGTTGTCTGAGAGAGATTGGCCACAGTTGGCCCATGCAATGTCACAATATTCAATCTTTCTGCGTTGGGTTGGAATTCGTCGTCGTCGTCGGCAAATGCACCTCTTTCAAACCGTATTCAAATCAATACACCAACAAGTACCGGAATATCTACAAGTGTTCTGTAGAACATCTCATATCTACCAAACTAGGCACAAGTCAAACTTATCTTTAAAACTTCCTAAATTTCGACTGGAATCTGGCCGAAGAAAGTTTGTATATTTGCCCGGAACGGCCTACCTGCCACAGTTAGAGTGACCACGTCTTACCTGTCGTTTAAGAAGGTTCTGAAACAACATTGCTGACCTCTGACCTCCTGACCTTGGCTTGGCTTAACGACATTGATTTACGGTTAACGATTTTGTTTTGACGCTTGGTTGTTTTGTAACTGTATTGTTTACGTGTTGGTTTCATTGTTATCATGTGTAACTTGTTGTCACAGGGCATTCCTGAAAAGCAGTGTTTTTAAATAGCACTGAGGTCTCTACCCTGTTTAAATAAAACAGAAACAAGAAGCCATAGGTGACAATCCTCCGTGAAGTTTTATATACTAGTATTTCAACAAAAACAATCCCAAGCGTCAACGCCAGACCTACTGTGCAGACAATAGGCCACACCAAGTAAATTTTATGAATGACGTCCACGCGCGAATTGATTTTGGCCTGTTCCTAGAAAAAAAAACAAGAAATTCCGCTTCCTGTAACTATGAGGTAGCAGAACATGGGGATTTCTATAGTTAAGGACCGGGAAGTGACTGACTTCGACTCGGATAAAAATACAGTAGGGTACCATAGAAAAGCACGAGAAACGAATATGCTCAAATGTAGGGTACGATGTACAAAATAACAAAAAAAGTACAAAAAGTTATCGTTTTTTTGACATCATGCCGACCTCTTTTAAATGGCCTCCTGCGGAGCGCACCGGAACTGCAGCCGACTCACCCTGGCAGGCAGCGAAAAGGTCACGCGCATTTATACGCCGATCGAGCAGCCTTCCTAATCTCAATTATGCGATATCAAAGCCGACATATTATGGTACCATACGGTAACTTGTATGTCCCGGTGTCATCCACGTTAGGCTGTGTACAAGCGGTGCAAGCTGTTTGTCGCACTCATTTCTTATCCCTACGTCATCGTCTCCGGGGGTCGCGGAGGAATACTGTGTTCTGCTACCTTGTGACCGTGTTCAGTGTACGTATGATTGTCGGGAACCTTTCAACGGGTATTACAGTATGTGTTATGTGACTGTAATGACAACGGGCTGAATGAGTAGAAACAGTGTATGTTCTAACATACGCGAAACAATAATAAGGATTTTAATGGTTTACAAAACAATGTATTGTTAGATCTCAACAAAAACGCGGTGGCCTAGCGCCTGTGGTTTCCAGAACTGACTCAGAGTTTTCCAGTTCTGAAATCGCCTCAGATTTGGACGCCCAGTTCTGACAGAACTTCCGAACTGGAAGTTCAGTTCGGAAGGCACCTTCAGTACTGAACACCGAGTACTGAGGGAGGAACCCGTTACTTAGGTACTTTTGCGCTCACCACCCTTGGTCGCTAAATATGTGAGCGTTAAGGTCGTAAAAGCGTGTGGAAACATTGTTGTTGACTGGTACGTGCTCGATGTCGGCCAGGGAGAGCTAACTTTCGCGCAGCTGTACGAGAGACTTGTAGCGGTGAGTGAGTTTTTGAGGTATGAAAAGTCTGTTTTGAATCGAGTACCTTGTACGGAAAAAAACACGGGTGAAATATTCCTAGAAGGGGAGTATGAAATAAATGCATTACATGTATCAAGGCTCCTTGCATGTATTTTGCATGGATAATGATCGTTTATTCGTTTCTGGTTATTTATACTTGATGTTGGCAAAATATGTGTTTTTTTATTCTTAAATTTTTGGTCCACATTTGGCAAGTAAATTGCTAATTTTCAGTCTGATTTTTAAGGTATTTTGGCATCTATAGCTAGCTATAAACAAACTACGCATTCAAGCTCAAAGCTCTTTTTGAAGTACTATTTTTTGGGGGGGATTTTTAGTCTTTCTTAAGAATTTGGAACCACTTATCAAAACCACCCCGTATCTGCATGAAGTTCCACCCCCCACTGCTATTCCAAACAACGCGTTTTTCTGGACCATTCCAATTCGCCTCGTAATTGTAGGGGTGCGTCTGCAATATTACATTGGCCGCGAAAGCAGCAACGGCAAAAATACACATTCGTGCATCAACACGGGCATGCCCGCAGACGGCGTATGAAATTGCGTGCCGATTACACAAAGAGAACCCAGTGTTTTCACTGCGAACATGAAAAATCAGCTCTTCACAACACTCCGTCCGGAGGTCCTGACCTCCTTCACGGAGTAATGAATAAATAGACATGCTTACAGAGGGAGTGGCCATGATCTGGGGCTTGGGTCAAACAGGTCCCCATTATGCGGTCAAAAGTCGATACGTCGAATCTACCGTATAAAATTGCCTATAGTGACATGCACGGAGTACAAATGCGACGTTGCTGCGCCGTACGAACATGTCGAAAAGCTCTTGAATTTGTTTAGAAATCGGTCTTGTCTTTTCCAGAATGCTAAGCTAGTCCAGCACATAATGTAATCTTTTGGTCGTAAACATGTAATGATAGAAATAGTCAAAGACATTATTACTAATGGAAGCACCAGACAAAGTTTGCTCTGAATCATTCCGGAGCCAAAATCGTACTATAGGGTCATTAACTAATAATGAAAAAACTCCCCAGAGTTCTTAGCGTGCGAGTCACCACGAGGCCCAAGAGAGATATACCGTAACACGTAAGCACACAGTCGATTCGCATTCGTTTACCGTTGTACATGTACTGCTTTCAGAGTCTAAAAAATCAAATTCAGCAAACTTGTGTGTGACTTGGCAACACGACAAGGAATTCTGAAGCCTCTTGAATGTATTTGTTTCTTGAAATTAATTTTGAGACGATCGAACTTTTATTGACACAACAAAAGTACAGCGACATTCGTAATGTCTTAACTACATGTAGACATACGAAAAAATATGTATACATAGGTACAACGACATTAACCTACATACAAGACAATAGATGAATCAACTTATACTAGCTACTTGTTCTAAGGTCTAAACATTCTTTGATATATTTACCTATTTGTACGCAGTAAGGGTTATTACCTTTAAGAATGAAATTGAATTTATCTATAGCATGAAATGTAACAAATTCTGTTGAGCAAGTGGAGAGACGGTTGAACAGCTTTCTTCGTTTATCATTATAATAAAATGTTGTTCATCTTCAATGTCATTGGGACAGAATGGACAAAACCTCTTATCGCGGGGGATTTATCTATCTCAAGCTGTTTGCCCGTCCTTTTTTAGTCTTCTACATGACAAAAGGCCTTGTGATTGCTCAAGGGCTTCACATCGCCTGTGGCAGGCAGTCGATGACAAGGACAGAAATGCCATCATCAAACGCCGGGCAGAAGAGCTTGCGAAATACAATCAAAGGTATAGCTATTTTTACACTTATTACAAGCAAGTAATATAATTATATTTCAGTGAATACCACATTTTATGGATGAAATATATTGTTATGGCTTCCCCACAAAGTGGTGAAGACATATTGCTTTCTCTCGTGTTTCTTCTTCTTCTCCTGCTATCTCTTTAAATGGATTCATCTCTGCCATTTTTGGGCAAAATAACATGAAATTTGGCATGAAGGTAGAGTGGGCAAATACCCCCAAGGCATTTTTTTCATTGTTTTGAAAAATTGTTTTAATTCGTATTTTAATAGTGGGATGGAGGTGGACTGAAATATGCTGTATTTGCTCCCAAGCAAATGTCGGTCTTTCTAAATCTTAATAAGTTTTCTGTTCGTCTCTTGTTAATCAATATAGATGGCTAAAGCGAAAATTCGGCTGTCTCTATCTTCAGTATTTATCATCTTTTTTCATCAAGTAATCCCCTTTGACACGTGTTCTTTGAGGACCTAAAATTTATAAACGTCAACGTCCATTAGTCAAAAGAGCCAGGGAATCTTTTCATTTACTCCCTATTTCAATGAAACAGGCAGTCATTGATCACCAACTTGACTCGTTTTTAATGGAGTGTAGCTTGAACTACTATTCACTGCTGGAAGGCAAATAAGTGCGTCCGTCTCTATGTTGATGTCCGTATGATTCACGTCTTAATGCCTCTGAGAGGTAGCTGCTGCGCCCTGGACCACCTTTACTACCGTCTCACGAGATGATCACACTCAATTCTTACCAATTGCATTTTGACCTTTCCATTAAATTACCAACAGAGTCGAGCCTTCCAAGGACACTCTCACGATTGTTGACGGGTCGGTTCCGCTCAGCTACCCCGTCCGTGGTCTGACGGTCGCCCCGGAGGGAACTGTGCAAATTCCAGGTGTAGTTTAGTACCTTGAGTAATAAGCATGTTGAATCTGTGATTTATCAAATAACAACTGTACAATATGACCAGCAGATAAATCTACATGTACCTATACTGAGACCACCTCATGAATTATGAAGGTCTAAATTACTATGCCTTTCCTGCGAGCAAGGACATTATCTGTATAATGTCCTTGCTGCGAGGTAGTGACCGTTAAGACCGGCCCAAAATCCTATCAGTAGTTTAAACGCATTTCATGGATAGAGAATTGTATCTGTTAGTCTTGTGTGTTTTTCAAATCATGCCTTTACACACGGATCATAAAAGTCAAAAGTCGTAAAAATCCAATTCCGGTCCTCAACGGTGTCCACCCGTGGAAAGGGACGGCCGGCTTTGATGAAGAAAGACAGAATGTTTTTTGAAAAAGTTCATATGAAGATTATTTACAGTGTGCACATTTCCAGGGCTTCAAGTTCTGGAGAAAACCATCCGACAGAAATATGAAGTAAGTTGGATAAAGCCAATTACTTTTAAAACACATTGTGAATTGCATCTCGATGCGAAAACATAAGACTAGATTTGTGGATGAGCGCTGGACAATGCACGATACAAGGCTTGGATAGTCTTATGTTTATCATCATTCGATCATATTTCATCCATAGCGTCGATGTCGTTTTTGTTGTACCACCACCTTTTACACAGGTACAACTAGAAACGGCCAACTATGGAGTACTGGACACCATTGCGGAAGTTGTCGAGGCGCAGGTAAAAGGACTACGCACAAAGTCGTTAACCATCCGCAGCAAAAGCCTCTCGCGCCTGAATCGCCAGCTTCAATTTATCGTGTACACCAACAATGTGTATGACATTGATGCCACAGAAATCAGTAAGTCTGGTTCCTTCTTTCCTTCATCGTATCCTCACCATTTCATCCTCACCATTATATATCGCCGACATGGCCATCATTTTTAGGAATTTACTTGCTGACAGTAAGTTGGGTTGTCTGACACTATGCACTCCAGTTTGATAGGCGCCACTGCTGCAATGTTAAGAATGTGATCCCAAACGTGACTCATATCGTATCCCCCTCATCACCAGTTAGGATTGGTGATTTTTTTTCTTTAATCCGGACCGTCCAGCTGCAGTACGAAGTAGTAGTAGTCATTATTGCCCTGAAGGAGTCAGTCGACGAAACGTCATTAGGCTGTGTAGCAAGAAAATACAAGAGTCTACATGTATATTCAATACACCACACCGATCATTAGCGATAACACATATTAGTTAGACCTTAAGCTTGGTCAGTCACATGTACATTGTTTCAGTTACCTTCAGGTACCTGGATCACAGAGTCAGCATTCCTCTTCGGATACGAGTTCGAACTGTTCCACTCCTCTACGACCCCGGTCCAGGTACATGTCAAATTGTAATGGTTCCATTACTTTGTAAAAGTTTCCATAATCTAAAACTACTTTGTGATATCTACGGTTTGGGGAGAAAGCCGTTGAGTGAGACAAGCGTCAAATTACCAGTAAAGGGATGCTGTTGGAAGGTATATAAGAACCGAGTAGCGGTGGTGACAGTTGAGCGGCTTCGTTTAGGGGCAAGTTGATGAACATGATATTAGTGTATACGTATTGTCGTAGAAAAATTTGGTGCAAGCTGAACTGCAGGTAATTGCTTTCCTGACGTTTTTGTATGTTGCAGTGCTCTGCAATGGGATTGAGTACCTGCTAACATGTCATGTTGGACGCAATTCTATTTCCTTAAACACAGATAACAACATCAATGCAAAAGTTACTGTCATCACCAAAACGTTTCTCAGATATGACTCCATCCGGGCACTTCTGTCAAGCATCCGGGCATTCTACCCCAACATCCGAGTAGTTGTGGCAGACGACAGTCACCCAGTGGAAGATCTACAGGCGAAAAACATCGACCATTTTGTCATGCCGTTTGCATCAGTCAGTGTCATTTGCAATACTTTTTTTCATGATACAAACTTGCATACGCATTAGAACAGACATAAGACACGCAGCCTTCCGAATGTTTAAATGTCAGTTCTATCATCGTCAATTATGTGTAATATTTGAGTTAAACTCGAATGATGACATGAAGCTTGGCCGAACATGCTACTGAGTTAGCAACTTCTCACACGTTATCATACACCAAGGGACATTAACGTTATCATAGAATAGGCCATTCAAACAGACATGTTGTCATTCATGCAGTTTGAAACATTTCTACGTCTTTTCAAAAACAGTGGTGTTATAAGCCAATTACTGGCTTTGGCTTGCGTAATTCTATTCTTCGGAATTTCTTACACATTTCTGATGGCTGATTATTGTAACTCTGGAAATATCAAATCAATAGCAAATATGGGCTCCTGATTGGTCAATCAATTCTCCTATATGATGAGTGTTCATTTTATCTATGATAATGATTATATATGAGGTTTCCGAGTAATGTTATAAATCCAGGAAGAGTAGTGAAGAAGTTGTGCAATGTGCAAATGAACAGTAATGGAGATTGATAAAACCAGACAACTCCACTTTCTTCATATGTGTAGGGGTGGTTTGCCGGCAGGAATCTGGCCGTGTCACAGGTGACAACACCTTACCTCCTATGGGTAGACGACGACTTCGTTTTTGTAAAAGAAACCAAATTAGAGAACCTTTTGGAGGTTATTGAGAACACCAGGCTGGACTTGGTAAGTATGTAGAAAGCTAGGTTTTCATCCCTCTACTATCAATCAAGTACTGAGTCGCTCGAATATTTTACATTTTGTATCTCTAATGCAACCAAAACTCTATTAATTTTTTGGCTGAGCACTTAGCGCCTATTCTGTTCTTTACACCCAGGTTGCCGGCACCGTGGGGCGTACTGGAATAAGATTCACGAAGATGGACATCGTCCCCGGTGATGAGAAGGGCGACTGTCTGCGCATCCATGATCTGCACCACTGGGGCCAGGTGCCGGGATTCCCACAATGCCGTCTGTCCACCAGGGTCACCAACTTTTTCCTCGCCAGGACAGACAGTGTCCGTGCCGTCGGCTTTGATCCGGTGTACACAAGAACTGCGCACACAGGTAAGAGACAACACCCCGTATTCTATCGGAACCATATCAGTTTTGAACGCGAAACCATGCAGATTTTTTATTAGGATGGTGATGCACATGCCACATTACATTTCTACATCGGCGCTATCATAACATATGAAGACGTCCTTATGACGTCGACATGTACTTTATTGCATTGGATACAATAAAACTTTTATTGATAGGTAGTATCTATTAGAGAAATAAAATTGGCCGATCAGAAATTATACGACCTTCGACCAGGGCCTCATCATGAAAAAAACAGCACCACCTCGACCGCCTTAGGATTGAAATGCAGTCACGAATGAACATATATGCTTTTGGGTTAGATTCGGGTTACTTTCAAATTCTACTATGAAACATTTATAATTTATTTCTTGCATACGACGAGGAGCTATATGAGAAACCTTGCCCATGTCCAGAACCATCTTGTATCTAACCTAGTCTTTTGTTGTCTTGCTGACAGAATTCTTCATGGCAACGATGGGCAGACTGCGAATTGCGTCGTGTGATCACGTGAGAATCGACCACGTCAGTAATAAACCAGCGGAGTACAGAAAGTTCCGTAATGCCGGGGCAGACTATCAAACATCCCAGCACCAGCATCAGTATTTCAAACATAACATTCAATGTTGGGTTGATTATAATACTTTACAATAATTGAAAGGCAGGCTAGGAGTATCAATTCTGTTAACGATAATTACTTGTGAAATGTTTTATTACCCTCCATGTAATGGGGGTATTGTTTTTGGTCCGTTTCATGTTTTGGTCTGATATCTGAAGATCGGTGAAAAGGAACTGTATGATATTTGGCAGATTGATGGAATGGGGCCTTGGAGATTGTGTAGGTTGACTTTGAGCCCCTGGTGATTGACCTTGGTACTGCAGTTTAATTTTTTTTATTCTATTGTTAGCGCGTTATGGACTGTTTGTGCGATATTAAGGTAGCATGTAGTTGTTGTTATTATGGTTTAGTGGTTTAAATTTGGGTTTCCTAGCTGTTTGCGTTTGATATTTACAAAATGTTTAACATTGGTCTTTTTGTGTTGAATGTTTGGAAAATCTGGTGGATGGTTTGGTATAATTTTTGGTATGTGGGTAGTTGTTGAGTCTCTTTGTGTTTTAGAGTGCATTAGCAGGTTGTCGTATATTTGTATTGCTTAATTTAAAAGGATTTCTACAATATCACCCCTATTTTATAGTAGTGTGGTCTGTGTTGGGACACAACTATTTTTACCTCCTGTTTGACAGGCTATATATTTCTTTGGTCTGGTTTTTGGGTCATTGACCTGCCGGCCTTGCTAATGGGGTGGTTTGTTTGTGTTGTGATTGAGAGGTCAATGACCTCACCTCTGCAGGATTGATTATGATTATCTTTGGTTCGTGGTATTTTTTGAGTTTCTGTGTTTTAGTGTCCATAATAGTTGGTGGTTGTAGATCTGTAGTGTAGCTTATTCTGCAAGGTATGCTGTGCATTTCTTATTCATTATTTGCTGCCATAGATAAGGACTTGAGACCTGTGGGGTTAGGTGGGTTTGGGAGCTTGGGTGTTGTGCATTCGTAACTTGACTCCTTGCACTCCTACCACCAGGAAAACAAATGTCTCTCAGGCAATTAGGAAATACCATTATTCATGGTGATAGTCTGCATGTCACTAGCTTCTGGTAGTCTGTGAAGCCGACAGGAGGCCACTGTAAAACTCGCTTGAAAGTTTATCTGGGTTGGTACTTACATGATAAAAATTAAAATTGTACCAACACAAAGCAACTCCCTCATTATTCATGGCCATATAACGTCCAATTAAATTTAAACCCAGCTGTCATGTTTTAACAATGAACACATGCGATAACATAAAAAAGAACCCTAACAACACCAACCTCGTTCATGGAGGGATGATGTCTATTGCTTGTTTACCATGTAGATAGTTTCGCCACATTGATCTGTTTGTTTAATTTGTGATTAACGAGGAAGAGTGTGCAGTTCGGTACCAAACCGACAGGTGACGCCATTTCCTTTCGTGGGAGAAACTGTCACTGTCAGCTCTTTTCTTTTCTAAAAAAGCTACCAGTTTGCATTTCAGCAAATCTTAGCCCAGTCTATTTAGTCACAAAAGAGACTACAATACAATACATAAAAACCTGCCGACTAAGTTTTGAAATGCCGCGTATGTTTGAGCCACCGCCATTGAAATGCAATTGAAGGACACCAACATGGCGGCCATCACCTGCCTGCTTGGTTGAAATGGTGAGTTCAAGGTTCTATGTGTGGGCCTCACGGCAGGTTGTCGGGTTTTTTTCTGTCTTACCGCCATACAGATGTGAGGCCCGGGCCGCCCTCCTGGGAAAACGGGGCGATAATACTGTAATAGGGAGTGGCGTGATTGGACGTGATGACATTTTGATCGATATAACGGAGGGACCATTTACTTTGAACGGAAAATTGGACTGGACGCATTGACGCATCGGAATCCGTTTGTTGGACGTGTCCTGCATCCCGGTTGGACAATAGACACTCGGGGTAGGATTAGGTCAGCCCGACAAATAATTTTATGGTTATAGAATAAACGTTGCCCTAGAATTTGTTACCTACTGGGTCCGAGCTATTGACGTATTGCTGGCCTTTGATTTCGAAATATTTCCAAAAATTCTTCCAATAAAACTTTGTCTTTACGACCATGGACTTATTGGCATGAATCCAAACATAGGCTGGCTTTATTTCATATTTGTTAATTCCCCATCCAGAAATAGCTATTCATGAAGTTCATACAGTATCTATTATGTTTTTCCATACTACTAGTAACTCAAAATTTCGGTACACACGGTTATATGCCGGTGATGTATCTTTACGACAGTAAATGTCCATGATGTATGAGACCGTTGGCACAAAAATATTGCGAACTGTATGGTTATCTGGCTATAGCAGACAGGTGCAGTTTATGTGCAATATATTGTTCCTGTTTGCATGTAGTGAACGTATTCATATTTCTTCATTGTCGTTATGTGTTGAACCTTGAAACAAGTGCACCAATTCTGGTACATGCTACAACTCGAGACATAACTCAAGACAGTGCCGCAGTAGGATCGGTGAATCTACATGTATCTGTGTTTTATCCTCAGCCCTGTGCTGTGATGCATGTAATGGTATAGATTCTGGGCTCCTACCTCAGATAAAGGATTCATGTCTATTAGTCAGGTCGTCGCGATCAATGCTATGTGAATGATAAATAACGGGTGAACTCGACACCCATCTAAATCTTCAATGTTCTGTCATTTTGTTCTTGTTTACCCTCCCCTGATGTTGACATGAAAATTCAAGGTGTCTGTGCATGATCTGTGATTACGTGCTTCCAACGTCTCACGGTGTTGTATCATCGTAGTGTAATGAATACGAGTAGGTTAAACAGAAATATCCGTGTAGGTATTGTACTATAAGTGTTTAGAGAACGGCTGTTAATTCTTTTCCCCTCTACGCCCTTTCAACTGTTTGCTACAGCAAGAAACGTTAAATCTTTTGCCCTTTTCTATAATACTGGTGTTGTGAGGTGACCGCCATCTTGGATCCGCATGGCGAGCACGTCGAATTGTGGTCACGTGAGCATATCCAATACCCCGGATGCAAATGACAAGAGAGGCAATCTGTGCACGTCGTAACCACGCCCGCTTCTGGTTTCTGTAAAACTTAAGCACAAAAGAGCCATCAATCACCGCTGCCCGGGTACACTTCGTCGGGTATTACCTTTTATGGAAGTCTGCAATGTCTTAAGTGTCATGTGTTAAAAGTCAAACCAATTCCTTTGCGCTGTTTAAACAGTACATGCATGTTGATATACTGGAGATACAGGCGTACTTTTAAGACTTTTACGAAAATCACATACACACGGTGAATACAAATGTACTGAGTGGAATCGATTTGCTGAAACTCGTCTTTCTCTGTGGGGAACCGATACCTGGAATTATGGTATCTACACGCTGACACATAATCGAAGTAACAAATTCATCGGTTTCCGATGCTCGTGGAATGGTATTGTTTCGTGCTGATAATCAATTTCTGTACTCCCAACAATACATTAATCGGAGGAAATATTGTACTGCACGGATACAGTGTCCACAGAATGTATATTCTTGCGGTAAATTTTCCGATGCTATTCCTCCTCGCTCCCTGAAGATACAGGTGTTAACGCCATTAAGGCCGAATGTGTCCCCCGCCTATATAGCCTTCTGGCACCCTCCCAGTTCTAATGTTAGATGGCAATCTTTTTCAAATTGCCTGTATCAGGAGACAGGATTGGCATGAAATTGCCATCCGATTCTAACAAATCAGCTTAGCGCGCTGAATCTATTTCCTTGACACACTGTGTGTGCCGTTACCTATGCCTCAAGTGGTGACAGGTGTATTTCAGATTCGTGGGGTTACAAAATCACATAAAGAATACTCTAAAAATTAATTGTAGGGGCCATAAAAGGCTGTCAGTGGATTCAAAGAGTAAGACAAATTAGTTCATCGCAAGACCTGCTATGTTTTTGTTTAATCTGTACCACATTGTCAGTTTTATACCACAGTTTTGATGGCTGTTAGTAGTGTATGGAGCATATCGTATATACTTAAAAGAGGTCTGTGCAAGTGCATGTCTCCTCCACACATGAAATGAACATGAAAACCCATACAAAGCACATACAGTCCCCTGATACCGTGTGTTGTTCACATGGGCTGAGAGAGGTCATCCCTCTCACAGAGGCATTCAGCGCCCGTGGGCTGTGAGAGGTCATCCCTGTCCTTGGTGCTGATTTACATTCTAGTGAGCACGAGTAGAGATTGATACTGAGAACTGTTTGTCGCAGGACTTTCCCTGCGCATTCTCTGCACGGCAAATCTGAACAACAGCGATTCCTCTCTTGATCGTCATTTACACAGTGTAATGAAGACGAACGCAGCCGCATTCAGCGCCCGTGGTGCCGCGTGACATTTTCTAGGAGAACATCATGCCGCAGGACTGCTGATTAGCATTCACAAGACTACATCAGATGGGGCGGTGACATTTTTGCCCTTGGCAGTGACCGGCATCCATATTAAAGACTACACTACCTGATGTCGGTAGCATAGCAGAATTGGGATAACCTCGAATTACCGCGGGTTGCATTCAATTAGGCGTAATCGATATAATAATGTTACCTTTATTTCAATAGCTTTTCTCCAATATAACATACTCATTCACATTCTATACCAATGAAGCAAGCAGGTGCTGCCCGTTATGTTCATATTTAATCATATTTCCATTTTAATGGATTATAGCTCAACAGATAACAAAATAACAACATATTTAGCGATGAAAAAAACGTCCCACTACAGTACCATAGAAAGTCGCTAGGGACATTATGGAACTTGCTAGGTTTGTGTAGGCACAGGACATTTTTCCTGATAGTCCATGCATACCTTCTTCAGTTATGCTACTGAACCACATACAATGTACTTTTCGATGCTACCTAAAACATAACGTCACAAATGTCCAACTTTCCCCGTTGTTGATAGTGACTAAAACTTACCCACACCAAGTTACCATCAAACATGTGCAACTCTCGACGGTTGACATTCAAACTAGCGAGTTGACCTTAACACGAGCGAATTCAGTTATTAACTTATAGCATTAAGTTAGATAAGTGTCCTTGGTGGTAAATGACATTTACACCCGTACAGTTGATAGTGATCTCTTGGTTGACATTCACACTAGCATGTATCGAGAGTCATCAATGCTGCTTCTAATGTCTTTTGAT